AACAAAGAGCATACACAGAAACCTCCAGACTAAAGAAAGAGATACTGAATTACAATGATACTAACTGTAAAGGGTGGGGGGGACAGTGGCATTCAGAACTGTTCCATCAGAGATAGCTGATATTATAAGTTAGAGTAAATATCTCAAAATGCTTTTCTACAATTTAGCAAAAAGGAAAAATAATGAGATATCCTGCTTTTGAAAATGCAGAGGGTAAGCATCAACGTGGATTAATGTATTTCACACCAGACCCAATACCGCATCCCCCTCCACAAAACAATAAGGTGACTTTACAAACTGTGGCAAACTTTTGCTAGTATGATTCAGCATATTGCACATAGAACTAGCCTTTGAAGGCCACTAAGCCTACCACTACTTCCTCTTCCTTTCATACCTCCAAATTTGGGGATAACTAACTGGAATATCAAGCAATCTAATTTATCTTTTGCATTTTAATAAAAAAACACTTAGCCCTTTTCTTTGCAAAATACAAACAATAGTATAATTTTATTGCTAGGCTAGAAAGTTGGTCCCTATTTTCTTTCAAAAAATCACTAGTTATTTATCACTCTCACTAAAGGGTACGTCTACACTGCACACTGATTTTGAAATAAACTATTTGGGTATGTCTACACAGCAAAGTTATTTCAAAATAACAGCCAAATTGCTATTTCAAAATTAAATCAAAATAGTGGAGGGTTTATTTCGAAATTGGTAAGCCTCATTCCATGAGGAATAGCACAATTTCAATTTCAAAATAAGCGCTGTGTAGATGCTTATTTCGAAATAGGGGGCCTCTAGCCCTTCCCAGGGTGCCCTGGTAGCTACTCTGGGCACAACCAAGAAAACTTCTCCCCCTCACCCCCCCCCAGGGTGTAGACTCTGGCCACAGTGCCTGTGCCAGCTCCAAGCCTGCCAGCCCAAAGCCAGCAGTCGCTGCACCTGACCTAGTGGCCCCAGCATGGGCCAGGCAGCCAGTGCCAGCCTGCCCTCCACCACTCCCCAGGACCAATCTGCCAGCTCCCAGGAGCCTGTCAGGGGCCGGAAAAGGCGGGCACCTGCCTGGTCCAGTGCGGAGATCGGGGACCTAATTCAGGTTTGGGGGGATGCCTCCAATGTCCATGATCTCGGCACTAAACAGAGGAACACAAGCGTCTACAGGTGGATGGCTGCCAGCCTGGCCACCAAAGGCCACATGCGAACCCAGGTGCAGGCTCGCATGAAAATAAAGGAGCTGCTGCAGGCGTATGCCAGGGCCACAGGGGGCAGGTCCCAACCAGGGGCAGACCCAGACTTCCGCCCCTATTTTGATGCCGTGGACTGCATCCTGGGGGGAAGGATGGTCCGTGCCCCCCAGGTGGTCATCAACCCTGGGGCAGAGCTTGCTGCCTCCTGCTGCTCCAGCCCCCGCTGCCTCCCCAGCTACCACTCCTCCTCCCACTCCTTCTCCCCCTCCCTCTTTTCCTCTCCACCCTCCCCAACAGGGCCACAGGGGGCAGGTCCCAACCAGGGGCAGACCCAGACTTCCGCCCCTATT